ATATTGGAATATCATTTTAAGAATATAATTGATCTTGATCTCGTAACTAATGATAGCCTGACCGACGGTTAATTTTAGATAAAACAGAGGCAATTTGTAATGAATTGAACAAATCATCAATCCTGGGCAAATGATATTTATTTTTGATGATCACCTTGTTCAAGTCTTTGTAGTCAATACACATCTTGAAAGTACCATCTTTTTTCTTGACAAACAATACAATAGCACCCCATGGAGATTTATTTGGCCTGATGAAACCCTTATTCAGAAGCTCCTGTAACTGACTACCAAATTCTTGAAGTTCAACTCGATCCATTTTGTATGGAGTTTTGGAAATAAGAGCAGACCCTAGCAATAGGTCAATTGAGAACTCAACTTCTCTTTTCGGAGGCATACTAGGAAGATCACCAAGAAATACATCTTAAAAGTCCCTCTAATATTCTTTTAAGGATTCATTTCGCCTCGTTCATAAGAAATTTTATTAGAAATTGAAAATAAATTATGGAGATTACACAATTATTAAGCAATTATTGGACTTATGTAAACATAAAATAAAATAAAATATTTTATTGATTATAAGAGTTATTTAAAAAGAGAACAATTCATCATTTGGAAGATAGAAGGTGACTTTCTTACGAAAATAGTCTAAGTTGGCATGATAGGTAGCTAACTAATCTTTAAAAATCTAGAAGCAGGAGGTCCATAGTTAATTCTTCATTTGTTACCTTAACTCTATAAGATTTACATACTACATAAGATACTAGGATGTCCTTAGTGGGTGTTTCTACTACAAGTGTTTTACCTAGAGATACAGGTATCATAGATAAACACTTGACCAAGTTATATAAAATAAATGAATGAGTAATACCAGAATCAATCAAAGCACATGCAACAGAATTAGATATAAAAAACATACCTTGAGTGATAGCTGGTGTGGCTTCAGCATCTTGCTCATTAAGATTGTAGACATTTCCCCTGGTCACTAGTCTACCATCATTCTAGGGATAGTTCTTCACATACTGTTGTGTACTCCCACACTTGAAACAAGCATTATTCATTTTACAGCAAGGGTCAGTGCCATGATTCTTCCCACAGTATCTTGACACCTAGTTAGGAGCAAAAGTATTGCATGGGGGTAGAGTTGTAGGATGAACACAAGGTCGTTTGGCTTAGAAAGGGAGAGAAAGAGAGGAATTGGAGATGTATTTATTAGTGTATTAAAAAAGCCAAAGTTTTTCTTTTTTGCTTCCCCTTTTTGCTTAATTTTTGCTTATATAATTGAATATAACAAATCTTAGATAGTTATCAACTCTATATGCCATGTATATAGAGGTTAATCTCCTTATTTCTTTTTTGTAGGACTTAGAATAATATGATATTAGTTTCATAAGACCTTAAACTAAAAAAAAAAAATTCCTCCAGTATTAGTTAAGATTTCTTCATAATAAAAGGAATAATTACAACTATAACCTTCACTTACATGGGAATTTTTTTTGTCTCTTATCTCACTATACCATCTCTTTCCGTGAAAATCTCATTATTGATTTTTCAAGTGTTATCTTAAAGATTTAGATGACTAATATATTAATATTTCAGTTGTTAAGATGGTTGTAGTATGGATAATTTATCCATAATCTTCACAGCAAAAATTTATCCTCTATATGTTTCCTTCCTTTTACTAGTGTTCACTATAATTTCTAGAGTTGTCACATTGATGTGGTAGAGTTGGGAAGATTGGTTTAGCTTTGTTTTACATTGACTAACGATTTCTAGCACTAGATAGAACTCAATAG